GCCGACCAATCGGTTGACTGACAAGACAGGGATTAATCGATCTGCGCCCGGTCGATGCATATCGCTCACCTGTTCAAGGTTAATTATCCACTCACATCATAACAACCCAATCACTACTGACTAAACCACGTGGTACTAAGTAACGATCCAAAAACAGAGTCCTTGGAGGGACAGCTGGAACTTTTTCTGACGGTGGGCGGGATTTCCTGTACCATGACCCACAAATCTCTTACTTTTATTACTCATTAATTACAAATCAACAAGCAGTTATGTTTGCCACCCGTCTCTAAAATACCCTAATATTTCATAAAAGTTAAATGAAACTTCAAATAATCCAGTAACGGTAGGTTTAAGACCTATAAGAACCCCATAATCACAGAACAATATACCTTACTTCGAAAAATATTTTATTCGCAATAGAATAAAACTATGAAACTATCAAAGTAGCAATGTATAATACGTAGAAATATTATATGAAACAGTATCACTATGTAGATGTCACTAACACAAAGTATCATTGATGTTCACAAATCTCGAGACGCATGATGATGATGACAATGAGAGGGCTTCAGATGAGAGAACAGATCGCATGCGCTTCGTGCGTTATGAAAAACTCAAACAAAAGCGTCGCTGAACAGTAAGTAACACAAGTAATAAAACGACATGGAAAGTGAAAACAGATTAGCGACACACATAGAGGAGAATTTATCAGCATAGACAACGAATATTCGCTTCTGAAACGCACGCACGTACAGAACCACCTAATATCTTCTTCTCCACATATGTGCACACTTATGATGTTCCGAGGATAAGGGCGACGATCATACCGTACAGACCGAGTACCTGAACGAGAAGACGGGTGAATATTCGCTCAAAATTTCGCCCACTGCAATCAAGATGTGCTCCGCTACAACAGAGAGCGACTTTTTCACTACTCGCAGCGCAAAACTTTTTTGCTGCAGGAAGCCCAAGTTCACTCATAACTAGGTGAGCACTTGGGGTTCCTGCAGCGAAAAGTTTTGCGCTTGAGTGGCAAAAAAATTGTTTGCTCTCCTAGCGACCAACACCCCTAGAATCAAAAATCAGAACTCACTTCAGAGAAGATCAAGATGAGAATCATTCCGACGAACAGACGAGGCTGTTGAGCGGTTCCACGAACTCCAGCATCTCCTACGATTCCTATAGCGTAGCCGGCTCCCAGACCGCAGAGTCCGCATGTAAGTCCCAGCAGCAAGATGTGCGAACCCTTTATTAAGGTTATAGCCTTCACTGGACGCTGTCACCTTTCCTTTCAACACCATCGCAACGACAAGGCCGTAAATACCGATGATACCAGCCATAATAACAGGAATCACAGATTTCATTATCAACTCTGGTCGCATCACTCCCATTGAGCAAATGCCAACAGCTGATTTGGCCGTGCCATATGCAGCGCCCAGTACAGTGAAGATCTATAAGTAAAAAATGTTAAAGGGTAAACTGAAAAATCTCGAAAACTTGATCAATGAGAAACAGCCTTGGACTACAAGCCAATATTCCGATCACATATATCTCAAAATTTTCAATTTTTTTACCCCTGTTGAGCAGAATGATAGGGGAGAAAGCTCTCAGTTGATGAGCACAATTATAGTGGAGAAACCCCCAGTTGGTGAGGACCTCATATAAACCCTTCAGCTAATCTTCTAATCCTCACGGCCGGAAGAGGGGTGGTGAAACCTGTCTTGAAAATCGGGTTTGCCTTTGAAATGACAAAATGTTTTTGAGTTACATTTTGTTAAGGAATCTGGTGCGCTTAATACCATCAGAAAGCAGGAAGTACTTCTGCAAACAGCTGATCAACCCACGGGACAAGTCTAATAAACCTCATAGGCAATTCAGCCACGATGTGAAACTGTTTAAAACACCCTGTCAAACATAATGGGATATAAATATTTTATGTTCAGTTTCAGTCCCATATTACCGTCAAGGAAGCAATTTCGCATCCGTTAATGTGATAGAACATTTACGGAAGTGTCGACACAATGCTGTAGCGTCATCGAGGAATCTTCAAAAGCGGCTGGGTCGTGTTTGGCTTCCCGGAAAAGAGGTGGCACATTTTGGATAGTTTATGGCTAGGATTTCGAGTTTTTTAGGAAGATATTTAGTTTTTTTTTCGAAATTTCGGGAATTTACGTGAGTGTCAGAACTACCCCTTTGTGACTGCACTACATTATAGCTCCTAACCAGCTCGATTGATATTTTTGTGGAACCACATAGTTTTAATTAAAACGAAAGTCGGGAAAAGATGGGAATATGGCTTAAAGACGGAGGTAGGTGGTGGAATCAGCAAAGAGGGGGAGGACCCTTGCCGAATTTCACCTTTACGTAATTTACGCTGCTTTATGCAGACAGAGATTACAAGCTTAGCTATCGATAAAGGCTCAATAAATACGAGGTTAGACTTCTTGAAAGAATTCTTACTGTTCCACTTAAGAAACGCCACGGCATTTGAAGCCAACCGCTGCAGAAGCCCCTAATTGAGCTGCCTATCCCTCATGGGCATTGAAAATGTTTTCCCATCGGAATATGTAGAATGAACAGAATGACAGTGTTTGAGCAGCCTTATCTCTATGAACACGATGACTCAATAGGGCAAAAAATGAGTCATTCGAAAATGAATAATAATCGTACCTGGGCTGAGGCGGCGCCCATGTAACCGAAGAATGGAGCGTACGCTGGGGATTCGGCGGTGCTTAAATCGTACGACATCCTGGAAATATAGTTAGGAACAATACAAGCATTAACAAGAGTTACAAAAACCACATCGGAAGAATTTTTCAAAGATACACCACTTGGGCGGCGCCAAAGACGCATGAATAGCACAATCAAAGAGACCCCAATGGAGAAATTTATTCATTAATATAATGAGAATCGAGCATCACATTCAAAGTAAAGTTATTCTACAAATAGAATATATACATATCGTTAAATCGGACTATGTAGCACCCATAATGAGGGCCACAATCATGCCATACAGACCAAGTACTTCGGCGAAAATTAACATCAGAATCATACCGACGAATATTCGCGGCTGTTGTGAGAGGGCTCTCACTCCCGCGTCACCAGCAATCCCAATCGCGTATCCGGCTCCCAGACCACACAAACCGCATACGAGACCGCCAGCAAATTGAGCGAATGCCTGATTCAAAGTGTAATCGGGACCACCAGGTGCCACCTTACCGGACACGATCACAGCGACGACGAGACCGTAGATGGCCACGATACCGGCCATAACCACGGGGATGATGGCCTTCATGACGAGGTCTGGTCGAGCGACGGCCATCGAGGCGATTCCGGTGCCGGACTTGGCGGTTCCATAGGCTGATCCGGCTGCTGTGAATATCATAGCACTTGTGACGCCAAGAGTGCCGAAGAACGGCCCGTACATGGCCTGCTCGTTGAGCTTGAGTTCCGGATCAACGTCCGTCATGGCCTGTAAAACGCAAAGAGTTGTATGAGGCCCATTTAAAGACCAAAACTGAGAGCGAATTGGGATTCAGGAGAAAAAGGCGACAGTGAGGAAACGGCAGAACGTCAATCAACAAATGGCCGGCTATTCAACCGAAGACGAAAAACGGGACATCCGAGAGGCGTTTTGGCTAGAACTGAAGGAGTGGCTAGATTATAATGAGGGAGGCCGCTGAAAGCCCGCCAGCAAGTATTGATGTAGGAAAAATCGATACGGAAGACATACGAGCAAGTAATCGCCTGCCATTGAGTTAAGGTAGAGCAACGAAGAGGAAATGGAGGAAGCATACAGTATGAAAACAGGAAAGATGCGCTGGTAAAGAGTGACATGGCCGAAGGGGAGCGAAATGATCGACTGGTTGCCCTGTGCGACTGCGACACCGGTCGAAAACCGAAGAGCAATACGGTAGCCGCAGTCGCTTTCGCCAGAGGCGTGACGGCTGCGGCGCGGCGTGTCTTGTACGCAATCTGCACATCCTACACCGGGCCTGACGGCTATTTCAATTTGTGCTGCAGCGTTGCATCGGATGTTTCTTTGCTTTGTGGCTCGTTTTTGAAACTCGTACACTTTATCCGATCATGAGGACAAATCTTGCGGTATTCATCACGGCGCTATCGGAAGATACGGGGAATCCTCTGGGACTACGCCTGGGGGAGGATCCTGGGGGAAAATGAACGCAAAATAAAGGAGAGGGACGAATTCCGGAGAGAATAAGGATTACTTACGCACCTTTGATTCCCTTTCTCCTCTGAGGCTTTGTCGTGGAGCTGAGCGTTCCCGTGGAGCCTGACGCAATGTTACGGGTGCCCCTTCACCCCTCCCCCTCGCAGCACCTTTGTTGCTTTGTACTTAATTTTTTGACCTCTCAATTCCATAGTACTTCGTTTCGTGCCATCCCGGGTAAAGGCGTAAACAGTTTGAAGTATGTAGCTCTTTTTAAACCTATATCGTCTCGCTGTAATTCGCCCGTGCGATCGTTACGATTGTTGCGTCGGAGCACCGCATATGAACGCTTGGTATCCTTCTATTTTATAAAGCGCTAACTTTGTGTGTCGGTTTGTGTATCTGTATGTGTGTGTGTGTGTGTGTGTGTATGTATGTATGTGTGTCCGTCCGCAAAATGAAGTGAGTGAGAAGGAAGCTCATGGGATAAACAAACCGCTAACAAATCGGGTAGCTTACAGGATTTGAGATATCAATGTTTTGCAGGATAGTTGTGATAACACTCTTAGGGCTATATAAACACCTGCTTAGCACACTTCCGTTCATTCCACATGGTGCTGCAGTGGCAGCTGGAGGGCAGTGGAGAGAGGAAGGGAGGATGAGGAAGGGAAGCGAAAAATCTACCGTCATATCATGATTGTGTCCCTTCTACTGTATGAAACACCATTGTGTTGCATACGCGTCACTTCCAGAGGTGTTGGTGTCACAGGAGGAAGGGACCATAGCGGAGGATAGAAAGCTTGCGCAGGAAAGGAAGGTCCCGGCGGTTGACGGGGGACTAATCTGGTTAATAAATAGTATAATAACTATTTCTTCTGAGATGAAGTCAATCCGTTCAGGTGTTGTTGTGCGATAATTCTTCTGAACGCTCATTCATTCACTTTTTCCATTAGGTCCGATCGGATCTGCATGTGCAGAGGAAGACTTTGGCAGCGATTGATGATCCTGGGTTGGTGGTCGTCAATGCCTTGTTCTTACATATATTGTAGATAAATCTGGAGCAGTTCATTGGAGAGGTAAGTGCTTTCAGGTTGCTAGATTCAGTTATTGACAAACAATTTTCTTTGGTGCTAACTTAGTTGGGGGGGGGGCACGCGGCGGCGCGGCAGTCTGCTCACCTGGGCTCTCTCGAGCGAGACAGTGTAAACTCGAACATTCCAGCTTTTCACGCATGTCAAGTGACTGCCCCCACCCCCTAGCTGCCTACACTCCCCCTGGCCCACGGATTTCCGAACATGCCAGGCGAGCAGACTGCCGCGCCGCCGCGTGCCCCCCAACTAAGTTAGCACCATGATATCTTTAGAATGAGCTCAGGTGGGGGGGAGGGAGTGGCGCTGTTTGTCTGCAGTTCACCTAACGTTATGGGACATGCGTGGACCAGGGAGAGTGAATGCAGTTTAGGTGCCGTATGCTGAATGTTGGGGATGGGACGGGGATGGAGAAAGGTTGTGGAGAGGTTTCGTCGCAGGACCCACTTTGCAACGGTCGCACCTTTGATTTTGCAGCTTTGTTTCCATTCTTTTACTGTTCCTGATTGTATATTCGCTCGTCAATACCTTTCTTCATCCAAAAAACAGCAATGAAAGAATGGAAACAAAGCTACAAAATCAAAGGTGCGCCGTTGTCAGTGGGTCCTGCGACGAACCTCCCCAACCTTTCCCATCCCCATCCCCTCCCCAACATTCGGCTACAGGACCTACTGGGGGTGTGGCGGGAGGGGTGCGTGAGCCAATTACAGTGTAGCAAAAGTTTGAATGTGTGATAGCGCCGCTCCGCCGCTTCCCCCCCTCCTCCTAAGTTTCGCTATTTGTTCATATTGTCACCGGGTTGATTGCTGTTCCATGTTAACACTTTGTCATTTACCATATTCATTGGAAGTCGGCTGCATGGCTCTATCCCAAATAATGTGTGGCGCAGCTAAACTAACGCCAGTCTTATCAACAGTGACTGTTTAACTCATTTGCAATTACAGAACACCTTTTTTTAGTAATTATTCAGGCACGAATACATCGCTCACTCGGTCACACCTCGACCTCATAAACTATGTGTAATAGGTCAGTTTTTTTTCAAATATCGATACCATAAAATTTTTTAAGCATCCACATGGCACTTTCGCACACACTAAAACTTAAGATTTTTGTCGTTACATTGGGATTTTTTTCTTTTCTGTAGACATTCCATTTAGATACGGACTCATACGGACTTGAGTGCAGTTACGCGCTTGTTGTTCTCTTTCCTTTCCTTGTTTTTGTCATGTCTCAGGTAGTGCCCTCGCCTCCTCGATTTTTCCGGTAATGAATCGCTTCTCTGCCCTTGACCCGTTCATTTTGCGACCTCAGTGAGACATAGTTTCACCATGCGCTGCATTTCTCATCTGCGCTGGGGAGTTGCTGTCAAAAATCTAAAAAGCTCAAGTAAGCAAGTCTGAGTGGATGTATTTTCAGTACCCTATCGAAATCGGGAAGAAGAGCTGTCCGAATTTGCTCCTCATCTGAGCAAATTCCTACGTGGACAAGGAGTGGATCACTATTTGATGGTGATGAATCAAACCGATGAGTTCCGATTCAACAGAGCTTCCCTAATCAACGTATGAACCGCTTCTTCTTACGACTTTTGCGTGTAGATCGACGTCGTGTTTCATGTTTTGTTTTGATTTAGGTTGGATGGTTTGAATGCGACCGACTAGGCTGCGATTACATGGTGATGCATGATGTAGATTTATTACCACTAAATCCAGAAATTAGTTACCGATTTCCTGGCGAAGGCGTTGTGAAGCATATTTCTGCGCCTCAGTATCATCCTAAGTAAGTTGAGGCGTTTGGCTTTCAAACAGCTTTATGCAAAACTTTTATGTCATATATTCGCTGGTTTCAGGTATAATTATACAAAATTCATTGGCGGCGTGTTAATGTTAACAATGAACGACTACAAGACTCTGAACGGCATGTCGAACAAGTACTGGGGATGGGGACTGGAAGATGACGAGTTTTATCTGCGAATAAGGTGATTAGCGGTTTTTACTTGAATCGTTAGCTCTTTTTTCTTTAACCCTACCATTCGTATTCGTGTCTGTTACTTTTCTATAATACATCTCATGATCACAAATGTGTGCATGCTCGGAAAGTTCTGAGCACTAATCTCTCATTGAATATGTTCTAGCTGAGCTAGGCATCAGAGCCGGAACTCAATAAGTTTTTTTCGGGCGCGTGGCGGCAATTGAGAATGCCAATTACCCCTTCCTGGTCTCATCAGGCTTTAGTCTTAGGACGTACTAGGGGTTCTGCGATACAAAGGGCTCCTGTACGTAATTGCCCCATCTAACAGACCCAGCGTCAGTTTTGCTTTCATGTATCGGCACAGTTACAGATAAAGCCAACACGAATCGCATTCGAATGAACGACTCCTCTCAGGGATGGCTCATTAAATCTTACAAGGGTTGCAAACCTCTCCACGAACCGTTCCAATACATTCCGTCACATCCACGGGGTAGAAAGGAAGCGTGACTACGCCGTTGTGACAAAGGAACAAAAGGCGATGAAAAGGAAAAGGGATCGCGTGAGTCAATTTGTCTCTCTTGGTTTTCCAACTCATTTGGAATTGTTCATATGTTAACAAGTTCGACTGCGGATCCTTTTAGTTTCTTATGACGATAGGGGTTTATGTGGGCTAATATAGTAGAGTTCTAAATGCCTCAAGCATATAATTATTCTTACTCAATATTTAATATTACCGACGAAGGAGGAAGAGCGATAAAACAAAGCCACTATTTTGTATGGTCATTTTTCTTTCAGTGTCTCCGAAGCTTAATTATAGGGTCTTGACATGTGAACGCACAGGGTGAATTGATGCCGTACTTTTGTAGCGTTTCTCGATACCGACGAAGGGATTGAAGAGCGATAAAACAACAAGCCCTATTTTGATGAATCATATTTTCTTTTTCATTGATTCAGCTAAAGTATAATAGGGTTGAACATGTGAACGCCCACGGTTAAATTAATCCGTGGTTTTTGTAGATCTCGGGGCTGAACAGTGTGAGGTACAATATCGCCGCCCGCCGAACCCTATATTACGGTGATGCTACAGTAAATGTGGTTGATGTCTATCTCTACTGCGATATGAAGTGGACACCATATCTGCAAGTCAAGGTCTCATCGATGAACAAACGGAAAGGTATTTGTTGGTTTCATTTCTATCGAGCCTATATTTGAAGAGCCATTGTTTGCGCCATTATTCATTACCATTGTGCGCACACCACGGATTGAAGTGTTTTATTTTAGAGGTGCTTGAGAAATGAACAAGAGAGGTACAAACCTGCCTCACTATATCGTGGCTCCTTAAGTCATGGAAATGCCGTCGAGCACTGGTGGGAGCAGCTTTCTGATTTTTCAATTTGTTTTCTTATTTTGCCTTTTTCCTGTGGTCTTAAATCAAGTGCATTTCATGCATTTTTTGCCATCCTTCATAAAATTTCTATCGACTTTTACACACTTTATCTTCCGTTCTTTCCTTGTTGTTTGTTATAAGCCCCCTTCAAGAGTCTGCCTATCAGCTAGGTTTTGTAGGCAATGATTCGCATTCTATCCATAAGCGAAATCATAGGTCACTATACTATGCGAAATTCATGGAAACAAATCATTTTTGATTCTTTAGACGTCAGAGCGCAACAAAATGAACAACAAGGTAGTCTTAACTAATATGCAAATATATGAATATTTTAGCAAATATATTAATGAATTCAATGAAGTTTGAACCTTTGATGTTAGAGATTGACTTCATTATTACATGGGGTCAAGCAAAAGGGCCTAGTCTAGTTCAAATTTTTCACGTGCCTTTGGACGGAAACTAGACTTGTCTATGTTTTGTCTTGTCTTGAATATGTCCTTCCTTAGTGCTCATCATTAAGGGAAAGCAAAAACAAACAATAATAAAAAATGTTCTTTTGTCTAAAAATTAGTCATATTAATTCAAAAACTAGCGCAATGTTGTATTAGAAAAGAGGAGGTGGTAGTTGTGAGGAATCTTGCCCATTCTCTATTTATTCAGAATTCTAGCGATTATTATAAGGTGATAGGTATATTTGGCCAAAAGGTCAGAATATTCATACTGTGTTCGTGACTCATGTTTTTTTATAAACTCTTCATGCTCCTAGCAAACCCCTCCTAGTATTTGTAGACCTATTTATTGTCATGTACCTGTGATGGTCTACCTGTGATCTGAGCATTTTATCGTTCTCATAACCTGATCATGCAGCTTATAATCAGGTCTGAAATTTTGTTACTTCTTTCCTTTCCTTTCTATTATATATCCGACAAGTTGCCGTTGTTAAAGCCTTGTATTTCGAATATCTCTGTTTATCTAATAATCGGGTAATCGATTGCCGTGTTCTGAGGTCTGAGGGTGCTCTTCTAAGGTTTTTTTTACAATGCTGTTTGATGATGTTTTCTGTCTTTAAAGATAAATTATTTATTTAATGATCTATACATAGCACGCTCTTTTTCTTTTCTTCTTTTTTTCTGAGTCATTGCATGGAAACCCAGATGGTTGGCACTCGGAAGAGTAGCCAGAAGAACGTCCCGCAGAGATCAGTACGACTGAGCGACGACAGACAGTTGAGGAAACCCGTGTACGTGGGGATATCATCGAGGTAATCTCATTTTGTAGATGGCTGTGCAGACTGAATTGGGATAGGCTTTGAAGTACTCGTTTTGGTGGTTATGAAAGATTTTTTGACTCGGAATCAAGAACTAACCGAATTCGTCCTAGAGAACTCGTTGATCAAACCGTAGATGGTTAGATCGGCGAACTGCAGCTTTGATGGGGTCCATACCAGCTGTTCCGTCAGCAGTAGCTGTACGGAAACGGAAGTACCGATTACCTGCAAGTGTAACGCTTCCTTCATGGATCAGGGTGGGTTTGGTTAGCCTCTGGAGGAAAGGTTCTCGCCCTTCGACAATTTCGTATGTAATCGGCGTGAACACGCTGGGTATGAGAAACAAATTGTCAAATTGGGAAGAAAGTCCTTCTG